ATTTCGGAAATTCTGTAAGTGATATGCAGATCACAAAAAAAAATCACATATAACCAATCAATATATGACATTAATTAATTTTGGTTTTCTTAGAATGTCACACACCCCAATAGGTGATGGTCAAGGGTTTCAGTAAAGACATGAATGCTTAAAATTGACCACACCCCAAATATGAGCTTTAAACAGGTGCTTTACTCAGACCTGGACACTCACTTTACCAACAGGACACTTTACTGACAAGTATTTTGTTAACAATTTGCCAAGGACTGTGTGAAGACTGGGTAACTAGCTAAAAGTTTGGTTTTTTACAACAAGTTAAATCAACTGTTAATTAAATAATAACACCACTTATTATCCTTACTTTGCATCACAATATAGATACATGTGTAATATATATTTTTTTGTCTGATGAAATTGATAAAAATTGCATATTCATGTTATTTATTTATCAATCATTTACAAAAAGCTTTTATTGTGACACATTAATTATTTTTATTTTTATTCACAAAAAAAAATTTTAAAATGAAATATTATGGGAAATGCCCTGAAGAAACTTTACAGTTGATCTAATCTTATTGCCATTTAATACTGTTTGAGTCTGTATTTTACAATTACAATCTCATGGTTTCTGTGGGGGTTGTGGTGTTCCTCGCAAGACCATTTCTACATCAAGTTTGACTTTACTTCAATTGTTGGAAAGTGTCCTGTTGATAAAGTGTCTTGTTGGTAAAATGTCTTGTTGATAAAGTGTCCTGTCAGTAAAGTGTCCTGTCCTGTTGGTAAAGTGTCTTGTCAGTAAAGTGGGTGCCAGTAAAGTGTCCTGTAGGTAAAGTGGATGTTGGTAAAGTGTCCCAGACCTGCTTTACCATGGGTTAGATTTTTTTTTTTTTCATGAGATCATGCTAACATAATCTTACAGAACATTTGGATAATTGTCTCATCCAAAAAAAACAACCTTCTTCCAGTTGTAGTGCACATGATCCTTTGCCCACAACAAGTGATTAGTTTTTGCTTGTTGTGTCAAAAGAGGGACTCTTCTTGGAAGAGTAGCAATATAATCAAGGTTGGAAAGCTCATGACAGATGGTCCTCTCACTAACTTTGAGGTCTTGATACTTTTCTTCCAAAATAGCCTTCATTTTGGTGATGGTTCTATATCAGTTACTCTTGATGATCATTCTGAGTTGGTCTTTTTTCTAGTGATAATTTTCACGGGTAACCTGACTGACAAATTTCAGGATTATTTTTTTTTAACAAAGCAATGTATTGTTGACATGTGCATAATGGAATCCCAATTCTGCTTGAAATTTCTTTCAGTGTATGAATATTTTGTTTCCAGAGAAAGTTAGTAATATTATAGTTGGCTTTAATAGGGGTTTGAAGATATTTTACAAAGTAAAATAAACAAAAAATGATAATGATGATCATTGTTTTTATTCACTTTTTATATCTAGTTACATGATTTGATCATATATAATATCTAGTGTTCCATGTTGCAATCCAAAAAAGGAAACAAAATGGTCATAAAGGTGGTTGTAATCATTTTTATATGACACAAAGATGGTAGCAACCATCATCAAAAGTTGCAGCCAGTATCCTTAATAAATTAGACAATTTATGGAACTATGCTTGAGTAAAGTGGTTCTAATTCTCATGGCATTACTTTCACTGGGGACTATATATTAATAATTAAAATTATTGTTTATTAATGGCAACAAATTAGGATTGAAATATTTCAATATAATCATGCTGGTTCATTTTCCCATAAACTATACAAGTGTAATATTATGACACTTCCTACGATTTACCAAGCAAGAGTTATAAAATCAAGAATTATTTAAAAGGATTGCTTCTTTTAAGATTGGTTGGTTGATTAAGGATGTAGTAAAAGAATTTGAAAGTTTAACAAAAGATTTAAACTTGTGTATGGGATGTGGACATCAAGTACTTTTAGAAAGGTCACACAACTCACTGACGATATGGGTTTTTCAACGCCATCGAAATTTAAAGAATTGCAACCTGTTTATGACGATGATATGATTTTTTCAACACCACACCACCATAAACACAATAATGACGGAATTCAATTTGAAGCAATTTAATATAGTGTAACGTTACTCCAAAAATTATATCAATAAAATATGAATGAGTTGCTTCATATGATAATAATATGATATGCAAGTATGTATGTATGGATATATGAGAGAATTTGGGGATAAAATATGATATGATATTTAATAAAGAATGAATGAGTTATATTTTTTGCACAATGTTAATATTAATGAATTATGTGATGATGATGATGATGATGATGAAATAATGCGTAATCAAAAAGTGCAAGAAATTCACAATTCATAAAAGAAAATTATTTACAAAAAATTAAAATCTACAACTAAATTTTTATAACTAATACAATCAAAGATAGATAGATAGACCTCTCTAAACCTTTGAATCAGCATCGTTATCAAATTTTTCATTATCATTATCATTGTCATTATTTTTACCACCAACAAAATCCTCCTCCTTGCACATAATAACCTTTTCTTTAACATCTTTCTCGTTGTTGCGAATAAAAGTGACACGTTTCTGTTCCGAATTTCGAGAATATTTTATCACTTTGACATTACGAGTTTTTGCTTGTTGGCGAAGCCGTAGACTGTTAATTTTTGATTTTTCAACATTAACTTTATAGGTCATGAATAACGACACCATGAACAAGATCACATTCAACCACGAAAAAAACATTGATGCAATGTATGCATTGAAACTTGTAAATGCTTCTTGTGGAAGCTCGTCGGTGGTCGAATTTATTATTTCAGAATGATAATTCATGAAAATTTTCATCGAGTTTATTATTGCTATTTAAATTATTGGAAGAAAATAATTAATAAAAAAAAAAAATGAAAAAATTTGAAATAAAAATTTGAATCATTTTACTTACATCCAGCGAACCAAAGCATCAATAATGATCTAAATATTGATTATTGATTATTAAAAATACATTTTATTATAAATATCATTAATCATTATTAATTGATACAATTTAAATACTAAAAAACTCACACTTCAAGCCAAATAAATGGACCATTTTTACGAGACCAAATTGTCTTGAATTTAACAAGATAAATTGCTGGAAAATCAAAAATATTAAAAAAAAAAGATCCAATCAATAAATTTTTTTATTCTTCTTTTGAAAATCAGCTTCAAAAAAAAAAATTTTTTTCTTACCAATAGTAAAGATACTGAGCGAAAAAGCAAAGTATACAAATAGTTTTTCACCAGAAATGCTGATAAATGGAGCAAGTTGTTGAAGATTTTTGTTAGATAAACTTGTATTTGATCCAAGCTGGATCATTTCTAATAAAATAAAATATTGTTTTAGCATTAAAAATTCATTGTTAAATAATAATATTAAATAAAAATAAAAATATTCACCAAGGATGAAAACCACAAATGAAAAGATCAATTGAGTCCATTTCAAAGACTGGAAAACATTTGGTTGTTCTCGGTATGCAATCATTTTATTTAGTTTGCAAAAAAAAAAAGGGTAAAAGCAAAAAGTACTATATTTATATAAAAATTTTTATAAATGAATTAATTATCAATGAAACGGATGAATGAATGAATTTAAAATTTCAAATGGAGATGATTTTAAAATTTTAAATTTTTTGTGGTGGTGGTGGATGATTATTATAAAGTAGTTCGTTAAATACGTTAATGATATTATTGATTTATTGATTTATTATAAAACAATAAATAGGGGGTGGTGGGGAATTTAAAACCTCTTAAAATAAAGGAGTTTTATTTTTATTTTTATTCTATTTATTTATTTAGTTAATAAAGGATATATATAGAACGAATGACTTGTGAATGTCGGATGATAATGGTAATAGATAATTAATTGGTGGTAAATGGTATACGTTAAAAAATATATATATGATGATAAAAAAATATAAAACGTATCTAACGTTCTATATTTAATACGTTTTATATATAAAAGTGTATATATAAATATGTGTGTGTGAAAATATATATATATGAATTAAGGGTTTAGATTTTTAGAAAATCCTTTCTTTAAAGAAAAAAAAAGTTAAAATGAATGTAAGGAAATAAATAAATAAAATAGTTAAAATTTAGTAAATTCCCCAAGACGAGTAGAGTTTGGAAGAGATTCGAAAAAAAAAAAATAAATATATTGCAGATATTTATATTTATATTAAAAAATTGATGCTTTCGAATGCAACAAGCAGATCTACAAGGTACAATTAATTTGAATTTTGTGTAATTTTGACACTAATTAAATTCAACAAGCAGATATAGTAACTACTATGTTTACTAATTCTAAATGGTTATAGTGTTTGAAAAGAAACAATATTAATATTAAATATTAAATCTGACATTAACGAATAGATAAAAGGCTTTTAGAAGATTGGAGTTTTCTAATTAATTTTTTTGGTTTACAATGAAAACTTGAAAGTTTTCATTTTCAATATTGTGGACACGTGCTACACTAAAATTCATTCATGATTAATATTGGTATTTTGTGATTTTTTTATTTATTGATTAAATTTTTTTTTTTTATTTACATTTTTTACAAATGAAAACCCAATTAAAATTATATATATATATATATATATATATAAAACAATTAATTAATATTAAATTGATTACAAATAAGATTTGGAAAAAATCGTGATCGATATGCCGCTATTAATCAAGCATTTATAATAATTAAACGAGTCTTCGTTATTAATGATCTTCAATTTATTATTCTTTAGTAAAATTTCTAAAAGTTGCGCATTTGTTGTATCAGAGACTCCATTAGCTTTGATGATGTCGTAATGTGGATCGTATAAATCTGTTTGCATCAACAAAGTTAAATCATCGACGGGTATTTTGAAATAGTCATTCTCGGCCAAATAATTTAAAAAGGATCTAAACGAAACGCCGAATGGAATTTTTATCTCGGTGACGGTGTCCAAATCCCAATAGAAATTTACTTTGATTTTCATAATATTAAAATCTATTGATGGTATTTTATCAGAATTTTTTTCTAACGATTGTTTGAAAATCTCGTAGGGACAATTGGTCTTGCTGAAATCACATGATTTATTAATTGGGTGAATGATTTTGCTGAAGATTTTTCTAAATGATTTTTTTGGTTTGCTATTGCTATGATGATGATGACGAGTTGACAAGAATTTGGGTAGCTCGAGATTTTTCAAAAATTGTTCAAAAGGATTTCCAGAGGATTTTAATTTAATGTCGTTGTTAATTTTGTTTTGATAAAGAAATTTATATTGCATTTTCGAGAAAGTTGATAAAAGTTTTTATTGGAAAAATTATTTTATTTCTTGTTTTTTTTTGATTTATGATTTTTTCGTTGTAATGTTCAACGGATACCTTTTTATATATAGAATTTTTATTACTATCGAGTTTTATTATCATTTGATAAATTGAAATAATAATTTTTGATGCCAAACTTATCATCTTTTTCTTTCTTTATTAAATTTGATTCCAAAGTCATCAAAAAATTGTTTGAGAGCATCAAACATGTTACGATATTGCCAAAAGCGAGCACTCAAAGAAATTTATTACAATGCAGACATGAAAAATATGATGAACACAACAATACAATAAATGCATAAATTACTTTTATAAATTTTAATTCCTAACTCATCAAAATTCTAAAAAAATTTGTGTCTAAAATCATCAAAATCATATAATAACAATGCGATTAAGTTTGTGGTCATGTTGCTAAATTTGAATAATTGTTATAATTTTTTGCCTATGTACCTAAATGCATAAATATAAATGTTAACATTTTTGTAATAATTACTCGTGATTAAAAATAATTTAAAAAACTTTAAATTTAACAATCTATCTACCAGATTTGGGGACTATCTGCAGATTTTTGCATAAATTTGGTAATCTAATATCTACAAATTTTATTTATATCTATCTATACACACACACACACACACACACACACACGCACGCACGCACGCACGCACGCACATATATATACATATTATATTAAATTGAAGTTGTTGCCATATTTCCTAAAAAACATAAAACTTGTTCATAGATTACAAACATTAAACCACTTTGCATGCCAGTCCAAGCAACTCTTGGGGCAACACCTCTAAATAATCCTGCCAAACCATGATGTTTATAATTCCATTGCATTCCTTCCCATATCCCACCATAAAAATGTGTTGCATATTTAGGTATTGATGATGTTGGTGGATTGATAACTGTTGATGAAGTTTTTATTGCAGATGCAGATGGAGTTGAAATTGTTGATGATAGGTTTGGGTTTGGGTTTGGAGTTGTTGTTGATGTAGAGGTTGCAGCTTTTTTGGATTGTTTTTGTGCTTGTTTTTGCACTTGTGTTTGTAATAAAGTTTTCATCACATCTAATGGCGTGGTTAATGCACCAGCTAGTGCACCAGCCAAAGTACCTGTTATTATTTCCCATTTTAATGTTAATTGACTGGTTGTTGAAGAAGAAGATGATGATGAATAGTTATTCTTGCTTGTATATAAAACTGCCCAAAACTTGAATTTTTCTAATTATTATTGATAATAATTAGTAATTAAAATTTTTTTAGATTGATTAATAAAATAAATTTTCAAACTTTACCATAAAAAGCAAATTGTAATGCAGAAAATGGCACATCACGTAATAAAGTAGCTCTATAACCATGATAGAATGCACTTGCACCTTCAAGTTTATAAATCTATTATATATTTTTTAACCAATTCATTTCGATCAATAAATCTGTTTAATCAAAACAACCAACCAAATTAATCAAATAATTAATAAGTAGCACATGGTTTAAACGAACCACCAAGGTGCAAACGAACCATCTGCACAGCGTGCCAAGTATTTCTATAATTGTATCCACAAAAAAAATGTGGATTATTGTATCGGCCTTGTAATTGTAATCTGGTTTTCAATACCTAAATAAGAAAATACACATGAAATTTTTATTCAAAAAACATAATACACTATGATAGATAAAAGTTTACCTCAGATGGAACATACACTGTAGATGCAACTACATCACCAAGAGCTCCTATAAAATTTGTTTTTTAGTTATATCATTTATATGTCATTTGTGTGTATATATCATGTAAAAATTGTTTATTACCAGATGATAAATGAGAAATTGTATCAGGGATTCCAATCCCTGTTAAATTACGCTTAAAGAATTCATAAGTTCCAAAATAAATCGTTGTGGCAGGAACTAGTCAATCAATCCAATCAATCAATCAATCAATCAATCAATCCAATCAATTAATAAATTAGTTAGTCAACACACAATTAATTATTCGTTTGTTTGATCATTAATACCTGACCCTGATATTGCAGGCAAAACTCCTCCATATAATCCACGCATTATACCCTCTTGCTTAAGTATTGTAACATATGCATGTAACATATTTTGATATTTTGGTGGCTTGGTAAATTTTTGACCTTGTAATCTGGTTTTGACTGTATCAACACTTTTTGCAAGAATAACAAATATATGAATTATGTAAAATTTTTAAAGAAAAAAAAATTTGTGATTGAACCACACAACATCTAATCTAACCTATGCATTAAAAAATCAGCAGTTGATCCACCAAATCCTCCAGCAAACATTATCTAAATAATTGGAACATAATTTTGAATTATATATAACAATCTCTTAAAATCAAATATATATTGTAATTCCATACATGAGTAAGAGGTGCTGTTGTAGCTGTGGTTATGACAACTTCCTTCACACCATTACTAAACTCTTTTTTAACATCAATCATTATTTCGATAGGCGATATTATATTGTTACCGATATCATTAAATCTCTCTGTTTCTAATGTTTCTTTAATTAGTGTTGATGTCTTTTTTTCATCTTTAATGTCATCATTATTATTACTTTTATCATTATTATTATCATTATTATTATTATTATTACTTTTCATTTTTTTTTTTTTTAATATATATATAAATAAATATCTAGAAAAAAACAAGTTTGCGTAACCTAATTTTTCTAAAAAAAACTTTTTAATCAAACCGTTTTTATCGATCGTTAATAATTCTCTTACAGATTGTTTTTTACAGCTTTTTTAATCCCATCAATTACAAAAACCTTAAACTATAATCACAAGTATTACCAAAGAACCATACGAGTAACGTTTACCCGCGCTCGCTGACACCATTTACCTTATTTTAGTTTTAAATACGCGCCGATCATTTTCAGATTTATTTCAATGGATTTAGATGATTGGTCTCGTAGATATTTTCTGAAAACAAATCGAGGAGAGGTGCAACCACTAAAAACCTTCAAACTGCTACTCATCTATCCTTGGAATAATTATTGCTGATTTTTGTAACTATTTTTGATATAAAAGGGTTGATTCTATGATGATGACGAGACGGAGAAAAGAACAAAACTCATAACAATAATAATAATTTATTTATCTATTACTATTACATCGAACGTTCTAATGTTCGAGTCTATAATGATGAAGAAACAAAAAAAAATATTTTAGAAAGAAAAGGAAAATCATCAAGAAATAGATGGAACAAATAAAAAAAGTATAAAATGTTCTTATTCCTATTATCGAAGCTGATGGAATTTGTTTGCCAGATTGTTTTTGGAAAAAAGTAAATTATAGCAATCATTTCAGCTTTTCAATATTCTTCATACATATTAATATGGACAAACATCTTTTTAAGACTAATTACTATTAAATTAATTTCGGCATTATTATTATTCATTCATATTAATATCTGAAAATCATATGACAAATACTACAATCACCTGATTTTGATACGTGTAACATAAAATATTATTAAATACATACAAACACCATTGAAAATAATGATAATTACATTAATGTTAGAAAATACTAATTGATGATGACAAGTTGCTTTCATAAGTGTAAATTAAATTCGTCATAGAACGTCTCGTGCAACTTCAAAATTTTGATCCGATTGTCATGAATCAAATCGATTGCCAAGATTGCAGAATAGAACAACAATGGCAAGCTAAAAAAGTACAAGAACGCAGTTGAATACACGTCAATTTCATAGATCACGTCATATTGATCAATCTACCACCCTACCATCAACGAATTATAGAAAAATTGTTTAGTTTTTTTAACTACGCAGTGTATAGATTTTTTACACATTATTCAAGTAGAATTTAATTTTTTTTTTGTTTTATTATTATTATTATTGTTATTTTTGTATATATCAAATAAAAAAATCAAATTTGCTAATATATATTTTAATTAAGATTATTTTATTAATTTATTTAGAAAGAAAAACTAATATAATTAAAAATTAAGAAAAAAAAAAAAAGTGTATTTTTATTAGAATTAGCATTTGAATTAATTATAGAAAGGAGGAAACTAATACTAGAAAAGTATTATAATACAAATAAAAGATCAATATCTATTCCTCTCCTCTTTCTCTCTTTATATATATATATATATCTCTCTCAAATATTTATTTTAATCTATTTTTTTTATGTTTTGTTGTTTTCTGTGGCTGCCTCCATAAGTTTTTTTGGCAAAATCTATGAAAAGATAGGTTAGAGGTAGTAGATAAAAAACATTTATATAGGTTGCTAATTTTGTTTCGGGAGTGATTAAACAATTATTAACAAACAAATAAGATATTGCAAGAGGAGTTCCAATCAAAAATTGAATTATCTGCATTCTGGTCAAGTATTGTTTTCCAGGTGGAGTATAACCAATACTTGTTATGGCATAATATGAATACATTATTGTGTGAATGAAGGAATTGAATATCACAAATATCCAAATTGGTGGAGCTTTGTAATTGATTCCTGACCACATCGTTATAATGGCACCTGCATGATGATAAGTTTGTAGAAATGATGAGCGACGACCTTTCATCAAGATAATTATAGTATCAATTATTTCGTAGTCTAATTAAAATGAATGATGGAAAATTATAGTGAAAATATTAAGAAACACATATGTGTGGATTAGTTAGTATCTAGCAGCCAAATCTCTATTCAAAATTTCCAACTGATCAATTAAATATTTACATTTTGATAGATAGAAAAGATAACCCCAATATCCAAGACCTTCTTCCCACAATGATCCATCTCTATCACAGTACTTATAAAGCAAAAGAAAAAAATGAATATTAAATTAGGATATTTGAAATATATATATATATATATATATATATAATGATTTCACACTTACAGCATCCATTAAATTGTTCCGATGATCATAAAAATTATTTACAAAGGTAGAACCCATTGATACAAATGTTATTAAAGAATATAAACACAAAATCAAATTATGAATGAATACAATAGCTGTCATAAATTGTCCACTTTGTTTTATATTTGAAACTTTTAAACCTTTTGATTGAGCAACAGCACGAGAAACATTATAACTATTGATATTTTTGTTAAGAGAAGTGGATTGAGGTTTTGGATTTAGCAATGTTATGACAATTGCGTAAATTGCCGCTACAGTTAATGGAAATTTCCAATCCATTACTACATCATAATATTGTGGAAATGGAATATTTTTTGGTGCCTCGACACTTTTGAAATAACTTGTTGTGTAATTATGATTTATCAGCGATGCCATCTTGGGATGAAAAGGTAAAGGAGACAGACGTTGATTTGGATTTTGATGTGATAATTAATTTTAATTATGATAATGTGAGTGAAATGGTTTGTGAGGAGAGAAAGAAGATAAAAATAAATATAAAAAAAATTTAAATTACAACCATAATTTTTTAACCATTATTAGCAATGTTTAATTAAAATTATTTTTAATTATTTTCTCAATTGTATATGAATTATATGATCTTAAAGATAAATAACAAATTTTGGGGTAGAGATTGTTCTATCAATTAAATAAATAAATAATATAATAATAATTAATGTAATCACATTATTTCCCATTCATTCTAAAATGAAAATGTTGGAAAAAAAAATGAAGTCCCCAACAAAAAAAATTTGATAAAAAAAAAACATGTTTTTTAGATGTAACATCAGATCGGTCATTTTTCACCAGATTATCTAAATCCTTTACATTTATCATCTTCACTTGATCATCATTATATTACTGCCAATATTACTTAGGAAGGAAGAAACTTTTATTATTGTCGTTAATCGGTTTTCAAAAAAACTTTCGATGATCTTTTCCATTCTTTTTGTTTTCAATCGCATGGCACACTGTAAAATACAAATTTGGAAACTTCTGGTTGACGATCTCCACGAAACTGAGAGTTATCTTATCCATTGAAGAGAAACTTAAAATTGTAACAAAGTTTTTGCTTGACAGTCCTCCCGGAGAAGTTGATGATAAAAATATTTGTGTATGTGTTTTACATTGTTTTTTGTATTCAAGTTAAATGTTTAGTTATTAGATATTAATTTTTCATTAGATGTTCTAATTTTAATGAAAAATGTAATCGGGAGCGCATTAGAACAATACAATACAGAACAATTGGTAATAGTCTAGATCGGGAAACATCGGTATTTTCATTTGCACATTTTTACATTGCAAAAAAATAATCATGTGAGAAATATTAAATGCATTTGTGTTAGTGTCAAAATTCAAAAGCGATAAATTTTTTGATCCAAAATCAAAACAAATTTTTTAAATTCGATCATTTGCAACAAGCAAGCATATATACAATTAGGTTTTTATTACTAATAATAATATGGTCGATGAACTCGTTAATTTAGCAGTCGAATCATTAAGGTAATTTTTGATAATAATTATTCAATGAAAACGCTTAAATTGATAGAGATAAATTTCCAACGTAACATTGAATTAGGTTAGAAATAGAAATTATGGTTGATGATTACGTGAAGGATCGTTATCTTAAAGAAAATAAAGTGATAATTACAGTTACTGATAAAAAATATAATTATTTAAACTTTTGGTGATTATTATATTAATTCGATAATGTATATATTTTAAAATTGGTCAAGAACTTCAAGAACATACAAACAAATCATATGGTCGAGGATCCCAAAAAAAATTAATAAATATGATAAATTTTATAATTGAGGGGCGCACTAGGAAAACCGGGTTTCGAGACTTTTGATCAAAAAAATTTTTTTTACATAATATTAAACTATAACGTCATGATTATAATTGATGAAAAAATTAGATGCTGTTTACTTAGTACAAAAATAAATTCTTGGGGCAACCAAAATTTTCTTAGAATCGAATTTAAAAATGATCTACAAACTCATATTTCATGACAATAAATAATTTAATAAATTTAATAGTCACGGAGCCCTATAGAGTGTTACTAATTCATAATTTTTATTATAATTTTAGCCTTTCTATAAAATTTAAAAGGTGCTTTATTAATCAATATTACAAAAACAATTTTCAGGTGTAACAAATTTAATCAATTGTTTGTACAAAAAAAAAATTTTTTTTTATATATTATTATATACTCGAAACCCATTTTTCCCAGAGCGTCCCCAATTTATGTTCATATATAAAATTTTAGTGATCGACATTAAAAAAATATCAAATCAATATCACATGACTTTTTTGACTATGAGGCTTACATAAATTACTGTTACATCGCATTGAATTTTTATATCCCAAATGAAGTAATACTAATACCCACCCAATCCTTGAAATAAAAAAATACAATACATTTCGGAATGGCCATGGCTTTACTTAGAGAAATAACTCTTTTCAATATAAAAGGATATTCATTAGAAAGGTGCGATTTTAATAACAAAGTTGGCGTTATTGTAAAAATCCGGTTGGTTACACGCTTCAAACGGATGATTTTACTCCTTTTAATATTAACGAAAAAATCGGATAAATTTCATAATATTATTACAAATCGCAATTAGCCAATTGGTTAATTTCCCGTAATTGCACAATCAATATTAATGTTATTATTATTAATAATCATAAATATTAAGCGTGATAAATAATTTAAAAGTATAAATAACTGAAATTAAAACTTGATTATTTTTTATTCTTTTTAACTCTATTCCAAAATGGCATTAATTAAAAATATCACTTCGCAAAATATTATGAATGATTTTAAAACAACTACTATAATATGCGGCAGTATCATAATAGCTGGTCTATCATATTTCCTTTCAAAGACATCGTCATTATCTTTATCATCATCTTTAAAAAAAAATCAACAACAAATAGAAGAAGAGGTCAATTTTCTAGAATCAGAAGTTTATTCAACTTCATTGGTGAATCAATTACTAAATGATCCGTCTTATATACACAATAGAGGTTATGACACTGTAAAACATGATAGAAAAACAAAACATTTAACTGCTAACACTTTACAAGGTAAAGGAAAATTCATCATGAAGCCAATAATTTTCTATTCTAGCGAGAAGATGGAAAACATCATTTTTTTACATGTTGGCAGCGATTTGTGTGGTCATGATGGCATCATTCATGGTGGATTATTATCAACAATTATGGATGAAGGGTTGGCAATAACTGTAATTATCCTAACAAATGTCCATTAACTCATTTTTTGTTTGAATTTTTAACACAAATTTATTAATTAAATAATCATTAAATTGAAAAAGGCAATCCCATCATTACCAGATAAAAATGGAGCAACAGCATTCCTACATGTGAATTTTCGTAAACCATGCAAAGCAAACCAAATATTGGTTTGTAAATGTAAAGTTACAAAAATTGAGGGTAGAAAAGGCTTTGTTGAGGGAAGATTAGAAACATTTGATGAAGGTGTTGTTTTGGTAGATGCTAATGCATTATTTATAAGTTTGAGAAAATTAAATTGTTAATTATTATTATCTTGGTTATTTTATTATTTGATTTTTTAATTGAAATAATTTATTTTTATTTAATTGTAATTTTAATTTTAGATTATTTATTTAATATTTAAAAAAATTTTTTTTCCTAATGGCCTCTAGATAATCTCTAGAAAAATGTACATTAGTAAAATAATTTTATTTATTAAATTTCAATAATTGGTTAATAATCATCTATCAATCAATTAATTATCCTAACACTCGATTCAATTCTTCTATTGAAGTGTTTAATATTGGTTTTATTCCAGGAAATAAATCTGTGTGATCCTGTATTATTTTACAATCATTTCTGCTAGGTGATTTTGATAAAGGTGATGAGGGTGACAAGGGTGACAATACTGGTGATGTTGATAAGAATGATGGAAATGATGGTGGTGTCTTTGGCATTGATTTTGGTATAGTTTTCAGTGTTATTGTTGTTAATTGGAGATTTATATTATTTTGTGAACCTGTTGTTGATAATGATGATGCACGATTTTTGAATCATCATCTTTGTTGTTAAAATTATCACAATCATCATTATAATTGTTGTTATTATTATCATGATCATTGCTAATATTATTACCACTAATATTATTATTATTGTTAATAATAATATCATTATTAATATTGTCATTACTATTAGGAGGTGTTCCTGATATTATATTACCACTATTTCTTCTATTTTGACATTTTATGGATATGGATTTTGACCAATTTCTAATTGCCAAATTTGAGAAACTTGATGAATAGTTTACATTATCTGGCAGATTCATATTACTATGTTGATTATTGTTGTTGTTGTTGTTATTATAATTATAATTTAATAAATAATTTTTTGAGTTAGTAAAATCATTTGCTAAATCAAACCATTTAAATGCTTGGTAACATATCCAAATCCATAATTATTAGACTTGGTCAGATTAGATTCACCACTACATGAATCATTTGATCCTTCAGCAGTACTATCATTATCCATGGATGTATTTGAATTTATTATTTCATGTTTAATATGTTCATTGACTGTAGCTGACATAACTTTTATTTCATTTGTATTATTATTGTTATTACTAGTCAATACATCATGTTCACTCTTATCATTATTATTATTTGTCAAGAATTCTAAATTTTTATTGTTTGAATTTTGGTTATGTTCAATTATTTCATCCTTTTGCTTTTCTTCTTGTACCTTCAATATGTCTTCATCTATTTCCTCTCCTTTTTCTTTTACATTATTATTTTCCTTACAGCCTTCTTCCCTTCTATCACCACCACTTTTGCATCACCATCAACATTATCATAGCATTTTTTGCCATCATCATTAATTTTCACATTCCAAAACTTGAGAAAAATGGCAAATCTTCCATATTGGGCAATACTACAGTATCCATAATCATTTCATGAATTTTTGACTTGATTGCTTTAATTATTGTGATAATTTTAATTGAGTTTCTGAAACTTAATAAGTTCAATTTTGGCATTTCATAAAAACCAACCCAAATCCTATTTATTGAATGTCGGAGTTCAAAACACTAATTCTGAGTTTAAAATGTACATTCTTTTATTCTATTATTAAATGTTACATCTAATAAACAAAAAATTTTGGAATGCCTGTTGGAATTTTGGAATGTCTGGGAATTTTGGAGTGCCAATTTTTATATTCAGTAGCATTTTAACAAACAATAAGAATGTTTTTATTGTTATTTTATTATTTATTATTATAGGTATTGGTATTATTTTTTTTAGTAAAAATTTTTTCGCATTTAGAACTGATTTTTGAATATTATCAACTTATTTTTATCAATTCATTATCTGTTATTTTATATATATTATTTATTATGTAGCAATTTTTATAATAAATATTTTTAACATTATTGGTTTGGTTGCTGTTATTATTAGAAAGATCTCTATTTATTGTTTGAGTGTTGTTATTGATAGCATTGTTGATAATTCCTCTTAAGGGTGAATGAAATGGTTTATTTTTATATGGTCAAGTAACATGTGTAAATTTCTAAAATAATATAGAAATCTGTATACTTCTGTGCATATTATCATATACTTACACCTAATGATTTAACACTACTGCCTTTATCACTCATGTCATCTGGCTCCTGTTTGAAAAAAATGGAAATAAGATTATTTTGAATGAATGAAATATATATATATATATTTACATCAGAATTATCCTCATATTCAGGCTCTTCATCATCAAAAGAATTGTTAAATTTAACATGTTTCTAAAGAAAATGCAAAAGATAAAAAATAAAAAATATATGTAAATATTAATTTTTAGAAGATTTAAAATGACTTACATCTGAGCTAAAGATGTTGGCTGGAATGGTTTTTGAAAAAATCAATTTCAGCAGGCAATTTCAGATTTACAATATTTTCATAATGATGGACATAAACCCAGAATTTTGGCTATTGAGTTAAAAAGTGTTCAAATAATTTTGATTATAATTTTGGCAATTAATTTCGGAAACTATGAAAAACTATTTCAGCATTTTGGATTCAGTGACAATCATTTACTAAGTGAAGTAATTTTGGCTAACATCTTTAGTCTGAACCTGTATTTTTTTGAGATGTTTTATTTGAAGTTGATGACTCTTGTGGTGGTGTTAAAGCCATTTGAAGAACATTGCTTATTTTACCAGCTTTTTGATATATAGTGGGTGCAATATATGATCTCACACCCTTGAGACTTTTATGACCAGAGATTGTCATCACTTGTGTGTATCAACACCACTTTGATATAACCAATTTAGACTAGTAGCACAACCAGAATGGTTGACCACTTTCTTCTGTTTAAATTTATACCAGCATTGAAACATATTGTCTTCATGTAATTCTTGATTTTCTCAGTTCCAATTTTATGATCAAGATACCATACATCATCATTGATTGCTAAAATCATAAAATTTATCAGATGTATTAGTTTTGAAAAACTAACCATCATGAAAAGTGAAATATAAATAAAAAAACTAGCCTGAATTGGATGAATTAACTTGTAAATAAAACTTTTGTAATACATGGTGTTGGTCATTTACTCAAACAAGATACAATGTCATCATAAGCTCCTTGATGTTCTTTATCACTGGACATGGGATATTTAGTGATTCAAGACCACCTTGATCATTTTTTTGATGAAATTTGGTGAAAACAACCATATCATCACATATATCAAACTGACATTTTAATATTTTTGTATGTTCACCACCATGAGGACAAAATACTAAACAGACCCATATAAATACTCTCCTAGAAAGACCTTCGGGTATAACTTTTGATGTTGCGAATCCAAGTTTCCTAATTAATAGGTTATTTAATGCTCAACACACAGCCTAATTGCTGACTTACAGTTGATTCTATATTATTTATATATATATATGACACACAGCCTACCTGCTGACTTACAGTCAAGTAAAATAAAAATTACTTTTATCTTCCTGGATAAAAGGGTCTCTAGGTTCTATGTAAATAATTATATCTCAAAGGCGTCCCCTTGAGATGTGTTTCAATAATTAAGGTTGTAGTTTCTTGCTGGATTCAGCAAAGGTTTCCCTTTGTAGTTTGTTAGTTAATTGAAGATTAATATTTTAGGGTAAAATATGTTATGTGTTTTATTAGTGATAATAATAATATTATTACAAATAGTGTTAGGAAGTATTAATTATTAGATCAATAATTAAAAGATTATTATGAACATTCTGATTCTGATTTGGTCTAAAACCAAGTTTTTTATACCTCTTGGGGTATTACAAATAACATGATTTTTACTCTATTTTGTCCAATAAAATATGCTTATTAATGCTAAATAATTATTTGGGTCAACTGAGCATTACAAAGTGATAATTAATAATTCAAAGTAAATATTTGCATCAGCTAATAAGTTTCTTGAAATATAAATACAGAAATATGAATATAGTGCAAGTCACTTAGTCCCACAACTTTCTGCGCCACACCGCCAATTTTGGGAAAAATTCCCAATCAAAAATGC